ATGATCCATCCATGGCTGGGTGTGGACCAGGTGCGTGGGACAGGAGGGCAAGGAACAAGGAAATTGAGCGCATTGGCAAGACACTGTCTGCAGTGGTGGATCCTGGGGTTAGGCTGGGAGGGCAGGAGGTGCAGACAGGAGGGGTTGGCAGGCAGGACTGCTGGAGGGGGTGTTGGACAGGGCAGGGGGGATGTTGGCGAGTAGCCAGTGGAGAGGTTTGGTTAGAGCGATATCGGGGTGAGCCAAGCTGGGTGTCAGGGTCAGGGTGTGGTTCTGGGAAGCCACGGAGCCACTCTTAGGAAGTTGAATTGAAGTAGGGCCCTGGGCGGAAAGGAACCTGAGGGGTGTGAGGACCCCAGGGGCGGATGGCAGGTGGGGAGAAGAGTGTGTGAAGGGGCGGTGGTGTGAGCGCGGAGGGCAGGCCTAGGGCAGTGCTCAGGAGTCATCTTCTACTCCAGGGGCCCAGGGCTATGAAGGTGGAGCCCCTTCTCTCCAGGCATTATCCTCAGGCAGAGCGAGGGGGTCGGCAACAGGGGTGACTGTTGCCATGGACCTCACGAGGGGCCTGGGGAGTCCTGGGATGGCTGAGAATCTGCCCCTTCTTGGCCATGGTCAGGTCAGTGGAGCAGACCCTGGGTGAGGCCCCAGGAGTCCAGTGGGACCCAAAGGCCCTCTCGTTCACAGCAGGCCCGGCCACATCCGCATGAGCACCTCCCAGTGGCTCTGAGCTCCCAGGGGCAGCTTCCCCTCCTGCCCGCAGTCACCTGGTCCCCCCAGAGCACTGTCAAGGGGGCTCTCCAGCTCTGGTCAAGGGGCTCCCTCAGGCAGGTTATGGCTGGCGGGTCTGCTCTGGCTTCCCTGACTCTCCCACATGTTCTGCAGGACGATGGACGTCGGACCCCTTTCTGCAGCACGTGCCTGTTGCCCTGTGAGCCTCCACTCTGCCCCCCTCGACACATCCAGCATTGCACCCCATGCCCCCCAACACAAGCTGAACACACAGTCTCCCATCCCCACACCTTCCTGCAGTTTGTGCCACAGCCAGACACTTGCAGATACCACGACCCACCTACACACAGCCCGCTGCACATTGCCCTCCAAACTCTAACACCGCCCCCCCCCCCCACATCACTCCCTCTGAATCACACAGATTCAGGGAAGGGCCTGACCCCACCCTGGTGTGCACGGGCTCACACTTCCTACTCCACACACACGCACGCGGGCACACACACACACACACATACACACACAGTCACATGCAAACGGCCCTCCTTGGCCTGTGCCACAACAGCTCTTGCCCCAGCCAAAAGTGGCCAGAACATCTTGTCGTCTGCCTGTCTGTCAGTCTGTCCATCCTCTGGAGAAGACACAGAGTTATGTCCGAGCTCTCTGCGGCCAGGTGCCTACTACCCTCTGGAACTCACAAAAGCTGGCTTTTGTTCCTTCTCCCTCCCTCTGGGGACGGGAACCTTCAGGACTGCTGCCCCTGCCCCACCCACCCTGCCCCCAGCTGCTGGGGGAGTCACTCCCTGCCATTCCCTGGCCAGCCACAGGCACGTCTCGGATGGGCAAGGCCAGAGGACAGTTCTCCTGGGCCTGCCACAGGCCATGGGCCGGAGTGAGTGGAGGTCCTGGCACTGGGCTGAGTGAGGAAGGGCCGGCCCCACCCAGGAGACACCACTTTTACTCTTTGGGCCCGCAGGGAGTGCTGGGTACCTTTTTTTTTTTTTTAAGAAAAAAGTGATGAAAACCTCAAAGCTGATTTTTTTTTTCTACAGAAAAACTAATATAAAAGCATTAGCCCTGTCTGGCAGCCTGTGGCTGTGTCTGTGTGTGCTTCCTGCCAGGTGCTGAGCTGGCACCCGGCCAGGGTGGGCAGGGCACAAGCATCTCAGCATCCGTCCAGACCAGCAGGAGTCAGTGCAAAGCTCAGCCCTTGGGGCCAGCAGAGTAGTCCGTAGGCAGAGGTCTGGGGACAAAGGGTGTAGTCACAGGTAAGCCAGCCTAAAGGCATGTGCGCCCCATCAGCAGGGTGGGGGTCAGCAGGTCCGATGGGACCACCACACTGGGTCTGTGAGCTCACTGTGCACGCCCAGAGGCTGAGCATCCGAGCAAAGGACCGACCGCTGGCTTGGGGCTGCTCAGGGCTCACCTGGAGGGTCGCCTGTGCGCTGAGCGGATATTCCCGACGGGGTCTGTCCCATAGAGGACAGCTGAGGTGGGAAGGGGACCCGAGACAGGCCTGAGAGCTGGAGCAGAGCCTTGGGAAGAGGTGCAGACATGCCCAGGTGCCTACCACCCCAACAGGGCCAGAGTGGGATGGGGTGTGGGGGGGACAGCACCTGCTCAGAGCAGAGAAGAGTCTGACAGGCAGAGCTGCCCTGGATGGATGCCCAGGAATCAGTGACCCCGCTGCCAGGGTGTGTAAGCACACTGTGCTGGGGCAGACTCCACTGCTCAGAGGGCCTTAGACCTGACGGTGGGCGTGACCAGAGCTTGACATCCGACCTTTCCTAGCTGCTTATCCCTAATGAAGGAAGGATGCTCCCATAGTAGCCAGGGGATCCTCAGACTGTGGCCCTGGGAGGAGGATGGGCAGTAGTTTAGGAACTGGGGACTGGGAGGCAGGTGCCCTCTTGATTCTCTGAGTGACCTTGGGAGGCCAGTTCCTCCCCTGGCTTCAATGTCTTTATGGCTCCACAGTGCAAGCCCCCCCCC